CAACTAGAGGCTCACTAGGGACATGTTGGTGTCTGTTATTCACACATGTATTACGATTTCTGGATAACACAATTATAGCATGAATAAAGACAATTATCATGAACAAGGAAATATAATAATAATGCTTTTATTATTGCCTCTAGGGCATATTTCCAACAGCCTCATGGGTAAAATGACCAAGAATCCATTCTCAGGAACAATGGAGTGAGCAACCAACTTATTGGAAATCATACATACTCATGTGTGCGGTCCAATGAGTGTTGAGGCTCGCGGCGGCTATCGTTATGTTCTCACCTCACTGATGACTTGAGTAGATATGGGTATGTCTACTTAATGAAACACAAGTCTGAGACCTTTGAAAAGTTCAAGGAATTTCAGAGTGAGGTTGAGAATCAACGTGACAGAAAAATCAAGTTTTCGCGATCTGGTCGTGGGGGAGAATACTTGAGTCACGAATTTGGCACACACTTAAGGAAATGTGGAATAGTTTCATAACTCACGCCGCCTGGAACACCTCAGCGTAATGGTGTGTCCAAACGTTGTAATCGCACTCTATTGGATATGGTGCGATCTATGATGTCTCTTAACGATTTATCACTGTCATTTTGGGGCTATGCTTTAGAGACTGCCGCATTCACTTTAAATAGGGCTCCGTCGAAATCCGTTGAGACGACACCGTATGAATTATGGTTTGGGAAGAAACCTAAGCTGTCGTTTCTAAAAGTTTGGGGATGCGATGCTTATGTCAAGAAACTTCAACCTGAAAAGCTCGAACCCAAGTCGGAAAAATGCGTCTTCATAGGATACCCTAAAGAATCTATTGGTTATACCTTCTACCTTAGATCCGAAGGCAAGATCTTTGTTGCCAAGAATGGATCCTTTCTAGAGAAAGAGTTTCTCTCGAAAGAAATAAGTGGGAGGAAAGTAGAACTTGATGAAGTATTACCTCTTGAACCGGAGAGTGGCGCGGCTCAAGAAATTATTCCTGAGGTGCCTGCACCGACTAGAGAGGAAGTTAATGATGATGATCATGAAACTTCAGATCAAGTTGCTACTGAACTTCGTAGGTCCACAAGGACACGTTCCGCACCAGAGTGGTACGGCAACCCTGACTTGGAAATCATGTTGTTAGACAACGGTGAACCTTCGAACTAAGAAGAAGCGATGGTGGGCCCGGATTCCGACAGATGGTTGGAAGCCATGAAATCCGAGATAGGATCCATGTATGAAAACGAAGTATGGACTTTGACTGACTTGCCCGATGATCGGCGAGCCATAGAAAATAAATGGATCTTTAAGAAGAAGACATGCGCGGATGGTAATGTGACCATCTATAAAGCTCGGCTAGTCGCTAAGGGTTATCGACAAGTTCAAGGGGTTGACTACGATGAGACTTTCTCACCCGTAGCGAAGCTGAAGTCTGTCCGAATCATGTTAGCAATCGTCGCATTCTATGATTATGAGATATGGCAAATGGACGTCAAAACGGCATTCCTTAATGGTTTCCTTAAGGAAGAATTGTATATGATGCAGCGGAAGGTTTTGTCGATCCTAAGAATGCTGCAAGGTGTGCAAGATCCAACGCTCGATCTATGGGCTGGTGCAAGCATCTCGGAGTTGGAACATTCGTTTTGATGAGATGATCAAAGCGTTTGGGTTTACGCAGACTTATGGAGAAGCCTGCGTTTATAAGAAAGTGAGTGGGAGCTCTGTAGCATTTCTCATATTGTATGTGGATGACATAATGTTGACGGGAAATGATATAAAATTCTTGAAAAGCATAAAGGCCTACTTGAACAAGTGTTTTCTTAGGCATCAAGATATATAGAGATAGATCGAGACACCTCATTGGTCTTTTATAGAGTACGTACCTTGACAAGATATTGAAGAAGTTCAATATGGATCAGTCAAAGAAGGGGTTCTTGCCTGTATTGCAAGGTACGAGATTGAGCACGGCTCAATGCCCGACCACGGCAGAAGATAGAGAAAAGATGAGTGTCGTCCCCTATGCCTCGGCCATAGGGTCTATCATGTATGCTATGATGTCTACCAGACCTGATATAAACCTTGCCGTAAGTTTTGTAGGAAGGTACCAAAGTAATCCCGGCATGGAACACTGGACAGCGGTCAAGAATATCTTGAAGTACCTGAAGAGGACTAAGGATATGTTTCTTGTTTATGGAGGTGACGAAGAGCTCGTCGTAAAGGGTTACGTCGATGCTAGCTTCGACACAGATCTGGATGACTCTAAGTCACAAACCGGATACGTGTATATTTTGAATGGTGGGGCAGTAAGCTGGTGCAGTTGCAAGCAAAGTGTTGTGGCGGGATCTACATGTGAAGCGGAGTACATGGAAGCCTCGGAGGCAGCACAAGAGGCAATCTGGGTGAAAGAGTTCATTACCGACCTAGGAGTCATACCCAATGCGTCGGGCCCGATGACTCTCTTCTGTGACAACACTGGAGCTATTCCCCTTGCCAAGGAGCCCAGGTTTCACAGGAAGACCAGGCATATCAAGCGTCGCTTCAACTCCATTCGTGAAAGTGTTCAAAATGGAGACATAGATATTTGTAAAGTACATGCGAACCTAACTGTGGCAGATCCGTTGACTAAACCTCTCCCTAGAGCAAAACATGATCAACACCAGAACTGCATGGGTGTTCGATTCATCACAATGTAACTAGACTATTGACTCTAGTGCAAGTGGGAGACTGTTGGAAATATGACCTAGAGGCAATAATAAAATGGTTATTATTATATTTCTTTGTTCATGATAATTGTCTATTGTTCATGCTACAATTGTGTTATCCGGAAATCGTAATACATGTGTGAATATATAGACCACAACACGTCCCTAGTGACCCTCTAGTTGACTAGCTCGTTGATCAAAAGATAGTCATGGTTTCCTGACTATGGACATTGGATGTCATTGATAACGGGATCACATCATTAGGAGAATGATGTGATGGACAAGACCCAATCCTAAGCATAGCTCAAAGATCGTGTAGTTTGTTTGCTATAGCTTTTCCGAATGTCAAGTATCATTTCCTTAGACCATGAGATTGTGCAACTCCCGGATACCGTGGGAGTGCTTTGGGTGTGCCAAACGTCACAACGTAACTGGGTGACTATAAAGGTACACTACAGGTATCTCCGAAAGTGTCTGTTGGGTTGGCACGAATCGAGACTGGGATTTGTCACTCCGTATGACAGAGAGGTATCTCTGGGCCCACTCGGTAATGCATCATCATAATGAGCTCAATGTGACCAAGTGGTTGATCATGGGATCATGCATTACGGTACGAGTAAAGTGACTTCCCGGTAACGAGATTGAATGAGGTATTGGGATACCGACGATCGAGTCTCGGGCAAGTAACGTACCGATTGACAAAGGGAATTGTATACGGGATTGATTGAATCCTCGATATCGTGGTTCATCCGATGAGATCATCGAGGAGCATGTGGGAGCCAACATGGGTATCCAGATCCCGCTGTTGGTTATTGACCGGAGAGCCATCTCGGTCATGTCTGGGTGTCTCCCGAACCCGTAGGGTCTACACACTTAAGGTTCGGTGATGCTAGGATTGTTGAGATATTAGCATACGGTAACCCGAAAGTTGTTCGGAGTCCTGGATGATATCCCGTACGTCACGAGGAGTTTCGGAATGGTCAGGAGGTGAAGATTTATATATAGGAAGTCAAGTTTCGGCCATCGGGAAGGTTTCGGGGGTAATCGGTATTGTACCGGGACCACCAAAAGGGTCCCGGGGGTCCACCGGGTGGGGCCACCTATCCCGGAGGGCCCCATGGGCTGAAGTGGGAGGGGAACCAGCCCCTAGTGGGCTGGTGCGCCCCCCCCCCATGGGCCTCCCCTGCGCCTAGGGTTGGAAACCCTAGGGGTGGGGGCGCCCCACTTGGCTTGGGGGGCACTCCACCCCCCTTGGGCGCCGCCCCCCTTGGAGATTCAATCTCCTAGGGATAGCGCCCCCCTTAGGGGTCCTATATATAGTGGGGGGAGGGAGGGCAGCCGCACCCTAGCCCCTGGCGCCTCCCTCTCCCTCCCGTGACACTCCTCCCTCTCCCTGAGCATGGCGAAGCCCTGCCGAGATCACCGTTGCTTCCACCACCACGCCGTCATGCTGCTGGATCTTCATCAACCTCTCCTTCCCCCTTGCTGGATCAAGTTGGAGGAGACGTCTTCCCAACCGTACGTGTGTTCAACGCGGAGGTGCCGTCCGTTCGGCGCTAGGTCATCGGTGATTTGGATCACGACGAATACGACTCCATCAACCCTGTTCTCTTGAACGCTTCCGCGCGCGATCTACAAGGGTATGTAGATGCACTTCCCTCTCCCTCGTTGCTAGATGACTCCATAGATTGATCTTGGTGATGCGTAGAAAATTTTAAAATCCTGCTACGTTCCCCAACAGTTTCGTACCCTACCATAATCTCTTCATTTGTTCTCCGCTATTAGTGACTTTGAAGTGACTCTTTGTTGCATGTTGAGGGATAGTTATATGATCCAATTATGTTATTATTGTTGAGGGAACTTGCACTAGTGAAAGTATGAACCCTAGGCCTTGTTTCCTAGCATTGCAATACCGTTTATGCTCACTTTTATCATTAGTTACCTTGCTGTTTTTATAATTTCAGATTACACAAACCTTTATCTACTATCCATATTGCACCTGTATCACCATCTCTTCGCCGAACTAGTGCGCCTATACAATTTACCATTGTATTGGGTGTGTTGGGGACACAAGAGACTCTTTGTTATTTGGTTGCAGGGTTGCTTGAGAGAGACCATCTTCATCCTACGCCTCCTACGGATTGATAAACCTTAGGTCATCCACTTGAGGGAAATTTGCTACTGTCCTACAAACCTCTGCACTTGGAGGCCCAATAACGTCTACAAGAAGAAGGTTGTGTAGTAGACATCAGGCCCCAGCCGGCGTCGTCGATGTAGAGCTTGCCACGGCAACTCTTCGTCATCCTGCCGATGGCGTATCCCTCGATCCTTGGGAAAGAGCCATTCAAGAACTCGAAACCACCATGCACTGGCCCCACGATGGGCGCCAACTATTGTGGTTTTGTCACGGCAGATGTCCTAGTGTGAGGGCTTAGTCGTGAGACCATTACAACCATGTGGTTAGCTTGTCGGGTTGATCGAAATTGAGAGATGCGGATTTACCCAGGTCCGGCCCCTCATGATCGAGGTAATAGCCTACTTCCTGCTTGTTGCTTATTGCTTTGGGATCAATTACAAGGGAGTGGATTCGCTTGGCCTAGCTATTGACCGATTGTCCCCTCCCCCTATCTGCCTCTGGGACTCACCTTTATATATAGGTCGAGGCCCAGAGCTTACAAGAGTTCGGGTCGTATTACGATCCATGACCAAGCATGCTTTTGACTTGTCTTGCTTCCTAAGTAAGGAACCTCCAGGCGGCTTACACTTTTGGGCCTTGAGTCGATGTCTTCGGATATTGGGCCGCAAGCCAGCCTACCCCATGGTGAGCCGCCCTGCTAGTCTTGTTCCTCAGCGCCACGACCTGTCTTGAGTCTTTCTCATCAGCTGCCACCTGGAAGACCCGGCCCAGTATGGCGGGTCATATCATGGGGTCATATCCCCAACAGTAAGTAAATTAATATGATTGAGCGACATATTCGGAAGGTGCGGCTAAGTATGACGTGGTGGGAAAAACTGACTGGATGAAAAAAAAATGATGGAGAACATGGTGGGAGGGGTAAACCTGTTGACCAAGACTTGTGCTACTAGCCACGGTGATACCACCACTTTAGATGCTCCCATAATACCAATTCAAATAATTCAAAGTTAAATGCTTAAAAAAATCTGAGAAAAATCAAGGATGTTCACAACACACGTGTCTACAATCTCTACAAATTTCATATCCAAACTCGATATACACACCGAGAAACAAAAAAAGGACAAATCCAGATGTAAATAGTGCAGTTTTTCACACTTTTTGTGGTTTTGTCTTTGCTGACACTATTCATGCTGAATTTGTCTTTTTTGTAGCACACCTGTTGTGAACGTCCATAATTCTTCTCATAATTTTTTGAAGCATTTAAATTTGAAATTGTTTTCAATTGGTATCGTGGAGCATCTAAGTGGTGGTATCACCTCATATATTCTCCCTATGAGTCCATCGTGTCTCTGTACTTGCCTGGACTGGTAGTCTTTGTTCGTATAAATCACACATATTTTCTATACATCTAGTTTTAAATCCCGGACGTCAATTTTTGCGGCTAACGAAGATTTGACGGATTAGGCAATTTAGCCTATGTGCAAGAACGTGGAATCTTGTTTGTTTTATGTTTTAATAATATAGTGTAAAATAGACATATGAGTCAATCTTTCCCCCCGCTAGAGCCCAAGGGATGGTCTCATTCTCCATACACTGCCACCCTTAACCTTATCTTGGTTGAAAGAAGTCTTTGGGCGACATGTTTGTCTTTTGACCAAGCGGTTCAGCGCAAGGAGGAGGAGGAAGAAGATGAAAGGCTATTAGTGACATGAACAAGGTTTACTTATATGTTCATGGGCCTGGCCCACCCATTTATATACTCAAGGCGAAGACGGCGATCTTAATTAACGGAGTCTCAGCCGCGCCCGAATCCCCAGTACCATTTCGATTTTCATTCTCTTTTGAACACACAAGTGCCCGTTGGGTGATAATGGGAGGGATATGCGGGAATCATTGCTGCAGATAAACCCATATCCTATCCTACTCCGCCCCTCCCTCCACGTCACTCTCATCATGGCTCAGATCAGAACTGAGATCGACTTCACAGTGCAGCGTTGCGTGCCCGTGACACGGACGAGTCCGTCACCCAGCAGAGCACAGCAGATCGCCGGAAGTGGATAAGCAATAGCGGCACAACAAACCGGGCACTAAAAGAGGGCCGGCCGCGGGACTCGGATAGAACCAAACGTCCACGCCCCGGACTCTCGCTCACTCCCCGTCCCACGGGAGGAGGATGAGATAGCCCCACGACTTACTATAAGAAGGCCCGATCAGCCGACCCAGTCTCCCAACAGTGAGTACACGCCAACGGACTGTGACACCACCGCAGTCACCGCCCGGAGCAGAGAAGGCAGGGAGGGATCGATCGCGGAGGATGGTGGCCCGGGGAAGCGGCGCGGAGGAGGCGCCGCCGCCGACGCAGCAGCGCCTCGTCTTCGCCTACTACATCACCGGCCACGGCTTCGGCCACGCCACCCGCGCCCTCGAGGTCCGCCTCTGTTTCCTCTCGGTGGGCGCGCGCGCGCCCCGACCTGCCCTGCCCTGGGATTTTGATGACGAATTTCCGTTCGATTTTCGCGCAGGTGGTGAGGCACCTGATCGGCGCGGGGCACGAGGTGCACGTGGTCACCGCCGCGCCGGAGTTCGTCTTCACCACCGAGATCGACTCCCCCAGCCTCCACATCCGCAGGGTCCTGCTCGACTGCGGCGCCGTGCAGGCCGACGCGCTCACCGTCGACCGACTCGCATCCCTCGAGAAGGTCCAACCCCAACCCGACCGGCCGTGTTGTTTCTCTTTAATATCCCCCCCTCGCCTTCTACTAGTTGATTGACTGATCGTACGGTGGCCGCGGAATGCAGTACCATCAGACGGCCGTGGTGCCCCGCGAGGCGATACTCAGGACTGAAGTGGAGTGGCTCCACTCAATCAAGGCCGACTTAGTGGTACTTATTTTTTTTCTCCTCCGGCGACTCCTGCCAGTTTACTTTTACTGTTATATGATATCTGAAATCTCCATGAACGCTGCCATGCAGCATCTGAATTCAGAGTTATATTGTCTGTTGACCATGGGCAGGTTTCGGATGTTGTCCCGGTGGCGTGCAGGGCGGCTGCAGATGCTGGCATTCGCTCCGTGTGTGTCACGAATTTCAGGTGAGTTGTTCCTCTGCTTGCTTCGTTCCAAGTGTTGCGAATGCCATGAGGCTGTACAAACGGCCGAGCCAGTTGTCACTTAGGTTGAGTATTTTAGGGAATCAGTGTTTACTTACTTACTGTAGTCAACTCAACTAATTTATGTCTACTTTCTGCTGCTAACATCTTGATGGCATGGCACATACATACTGATGCATTTTCTGTAACTTCTTGATGATCTCTGTATAAATTGTTATCTGGTATATTTAAGCCACAAAATTCTGCAGCTGTGTGTAATGCTAACAAATACCATATAGTTATAAAAAAAACAATACCTTATAATTCAATTACTCCCTCTGTTCACAAATATAAGATGTTTTAACTTTTTCCTGAATCAGATGTATATAAGCATGATTTAGTGTGTTTGTTCACTTATTTCAGTCCGAATGTAGTCCATATTGAAGTACTCCCTCCGTCCCAAAATTCTTGTCTTAGATTTGTCTAGATACGGGTGTATCGTCATACATCCGTATCTAGACAAATTTAAGACACATCCGTCTCTAGACAAATCTAAGACAAGAATTTTGGGACAGAGGTAAGATTTGTTAACGGAGGGAGTAGCTTTTATCTGGAACTGACAGGCAGTATGCAAATAATTGTTTTACAATTTTTCATAGCCATCTTATTTGGACTTCCATACAAAAATGCCCTGATCTTTATCTCCAATTTGCAGTTGGGACTTCATTTATGCAGAGTACGTTGTAGCAGCTGGAAATCATCATCGCTCAATTGTGTGGCAGGTGCCCTGCTTGCAGACTTAGTTCCTTATTGTAGCACTTGCTGGCATGCTAAATTCAAGTTTAAAAGTTTTCTACCTTTAGGATAAATCTTCTATATATGCTGGTTTGTTATTAAATGCAGTGTTAATTAGTTGGCTGGCACTAAGTTCTAAAAGCATCCTCCTTCCAGAGCTGAAACCGACATCTGTATTTTTCCTTAATATTGGCCATTCACAGTGTACATATGCAAGCTGCGATTTATTACGTTTGTTTAATAACCATGTGCACCTGTTGACAATAACTGTAGATAGCAGAGGATTACTCACATTGTGAGTTCTTACTACGACTCCCTGGATACTGCCCTAGTATGTCCCCCTGACTGAGTGATAATATTTCCAAAGATCTTAAATATTGGCTTGCACTTCTCATGAATAAGAAGTGATTAATTTTATCTTCTACAGTGCCTGCTTTCCGTGACGTTATTGATGTGCCTCTTGTGGTGAGAAGATTACACAAATCTCGATCCGAGGTCTGTATGATTCTGCTTGAGAATGTTACTCTATAAACTAATCCATATTATTTGTGTCTAACTTCTATAATTTTCATATATCAGGTGAGAAAGGAACTAGGGATTGCAGAGGATGTTAAGGTGGTCATTTTCAACTTTGGAGGACAGGTGGGCCAGTAACTAAGGACTTTTTTCTTATATATGAATGCTTACTTCATTTCAATAAATTAACTGATGTCAGCTAATTACACATATCTGTTAAAATTTGATCTTTGTTTTTTATACTAGTTCAATGTTAATGTCATTATGATGATACTACTCTATTCTCCAGCCGGCAGGATGGAAACTGAAGAAAGAGTGGTTGCCTGATGGTTGGCTTTGTTTGGTACAGTTTGTTTGACGACAATTTATTTACTTCCTTTCAGTTCCTTGCCAACCTTTCTGACTAAAATTATGCTATTTTCTGACAGGTATGTGGTGCATCTGATACTCAAGAGCTTCCTCCAAATTATGTCAAGCTCGCAAAGGATGCGTACACACCTGATTTAATGGCAGCATCTGACTGCATGCTTGGTAAACACAATGTTATACACATTGGTGTTATTTTCTCTGTTTTTCTTTTTCTTGCCCGACACATAACAATTGTGGCTCTCTCATGTAGGGAAAATTGGATATGGTACCGTGAGTGAGGCTTTGGCGTACAAGCTGCCATTTGTATTTGTTCGTAGGGATTATTTCAATGAAGAGCCTTTTCTGCGGAATATGCTTGAGGTTAAAACATCTCTGAGCATCACCTTACATAAATGGCATTTCAGGCTATATAAGACTGTCATTCAAGTACCATGACACACTGTCTTGTATCCTCTTTTGTCCCTTAAAAAACAGCATTATCAATGTGGCATTGAGATGATACGGAGGGATTTACTTACTGGACATTGGAAACCTTATCTGCTACGCGCTTTAACACTTAAGCCCTGCTATGATCGTCCAATAAATGGTGGCGAGGTAATCTACTTTCCGCTCCCAGGTGCAATATTTGTGAATGTTATTCGCCAACTCAATTAGAAATCATGTTGATGATTATATTTGCACAGAACAACCAGGGACAGTTTGGTTTTAAATATAAGAAGCATTTAAATAGCTTGCAGAATCAGTTCTTCCAAAAAAATCAGGAGGCAGCAACTTAGGCCGTGTTCGGCAGCCCTCCGCTCCGCGGCTCTGCTCCTGGAGCGGCCGGAGCAGAGCAGCCTGTAGTGCATTTTTGTGAAGTTGTAAAACTGGCGCTCCGTCAGCTCCCGTATTATAGGGAGTTGGAGAGCTGCCGAACAAGGCCTTAATATCCCATTTCCTTTTTTCCTTGGAAAAAGATATAACGTGTTTGCAGCACAGTCCACTTTATGAGATTGCATTGTGAACGCCCTTTCATTCTAAGCTTTTATTTCTTCGTTCAGGTGGCTGCACATATCCTCCAGGATACTGCTGTCGGGAAGAAGTATATTTCCGGCAAGGTGAGTGACTGCACATATAATAATGCTGAGTATGATCATTGGGCTTATTTTACCTTCTGTTGTACCTTGATTTTCGTATCGACTCAGTCTTCTGATTTATTTTCATGTTGTTATGAAGCCATAGTTTTGCTTTATTTATCTCCAAATAGTGTTATACTAAAAAATTCTTGCTTTCACTTCATATAAGTAATCTGTATATAACAAAAGAAAACTATCATTGCTTGTCCCAATACTTGTTAAAAGGAGATCTACTCTAGAAGTGTAAGAGAAAATTTGTGTGTGAAATTAAGGACTTATCATGCAACTTTTCATGTAGTTGATAACTGCTAAGTTGGAATAAGTGTTTGCTGCTTTGGAAATTTTAAACTATAAACTTTTGTTAAAAAAATTCACATCTTTTGCCCTTATTTAATAAACTTTTTTGATTGTGCAATTTCAGTTGAGTGGGGCAAGACGATTACGTGATGCCATAGTGCTAGGATACCAACTACAGAGGGCTCCCGGGAGAGATGTAGGAATCCCTGAATGGTATTCTCTCTCCGAGAAAGAAATCGGTGTTCGCCCAGCACCCGCGTCTCGTCGGATTAATGGAAGTGCAGAATCGTAAGTTCACATTTCCTTTCTTTTTTCCTTCATACCATTTGCCATTTCTCCAACAGCGTACGCTGTTATGTTCCCGTTTATTTACCTTTACCTTTTTGTCAGATCTTTTGAGGACTTCGAGATTCTCCATGGAGACATGCAAGGATTAACCGATACTATGGCTTTCCTGACAAGTTTATCTGGGCTTGTTGGAAACGATCCGAGGATCCCTGAGAAGCAATCCCGAGAAAGGACTGCTGCTTCTGTACTCTTTGACTTGGAGGTATGCAGTTCTGCATTTTCCAGTCCCTGAATAGTGAATTATGTAATCTGTCCCAGGTTCTGCTTCTTTTCCCTATACTAGACTAGATAATGCAAAAGTTACAACCATGTCTGATGACACACCCTTCATTTTCTTGATACTTGAGGAAAATATTTTGTCAAATGATATTCGTATGCAGTGTTAATTAGTGATTTGTTCTGTTGCAGGAGGATATATATGTTGCAAGAGCACCTGGACGATTGGATGTCATGGGTGGCATTGCAGATTATTCAGGAAGTCTTGTACTACAGGTAATTCTGAAATAGTTTTGTTCTTGTGCTCTGCTTGCATGTCAATTCTACGAAAATAGTAAACTCAATTTTCAGTATGTACAGATTACAGATTCTTCCATTATGTGTTTACTTTGCTTTTAGTTTGTTTCTCCTCCTATGTGTCGCTTCATCATAGGGTTTATCCTGGACTCCTGTGTGCATTGTGAAAGGATGTGCTTACATTTACTATCTCAAAATGCACACGCCTTGCATAGTGATTGATTATTTTTTATTAGATGGTGATTAGTTTAGTGGGTTGTTAGTATTTCTAATATAGGTGTTAGGAAACATTTTGAGGCTCTGTCCTCCTCCTCCAAAATGAATGGGTTATAGCAAGGATTGATTATCTTACTTGATACTTTATCAGCATTCTACTTTTCTTTACAAATACCACCTTAGGAAATTGGTCTATTCAGTTTACTTAAGTAAAATGGAAGAGTGTTAGTTTTTTGGCATTTCTGATTGACGTTGTGGTTGTCCAATTACCAGATGCCCATTCGAGAGGCCTGTCATGTTGCTATTCAGAGAAGCGATCCTGTCAAGCAGAAGCTATGGAAGCATACTCAGGCTAGGCAGCTAGCAAATGGAGCAGTGCCGATTTTGCAAATTGTATGTATAATTAAATCTCCAAGCTTCTTTATCTTCTTATCTTGCACATAGTCATGCGTTCCAACAGGTTTTTTTTTCACCTTTCATTTCTTGCATTGTCCACTGGATAACTAAAAAAATGCAGCATGTTAAGTTTCATTTTTCTTGTTCTTCTGACATTCTCTTTCACAGAGAGCAGCCAGCCAGAGTAGATGCGACATGTTAAGTTGAATGTGTAATATGCTCATTTTGGACAACTGAATGTTTGTGCAGGTATCATTTGGCTCTGAATTGAGTAACCGGGCACCAACATTCGATATGGACCTGTCTGATTTTATGGATGGTGACAAACCAATATCGTATGAAAAGGCCAAAGAATATTTCTCCCAGGATCCATCTCAAAAGTAAGAAAAATGCTTTTCTTTCCTGTCTAAGTGATAACATGGCATTTGCATTCTTATTGAAAAAACTGTTCTATCTCAGATGGGCTGCCTATGTTGCTGGAACAGTTCTTGTGTTGATGACTGAACTAGGTGTTCAATTCACAGACAGCATGAGCATTTTGGTGGGTATTGACCCTTTCTTCTAAGTTTCATCAAAACTCTTGTCATGGTTTAAAATATGTAACAGTTCATCTATTTCCCACCTTGCTCAAATTGGGGAGGTGTGCTTTAAGAATTCATCAACAAAGGACTGCTTGTATGCTCACCTTTTGATATTCTTGTTTGGATTATCAGGTTTCTTCTTCTGTTCCTGAAGGCAAAGGTGTCTCATCTTCTGCATCAGTGGAGGTTGCTACAATGTCTGCTATTGCCGCAGTCTATGGTTAGTACATTGATTACATCGATGCATGTTGCTTGTACGAAAATCTAATAGAATGGTTCTTGTTTTAGTTAATATTATTTGAACTCCCTACTTCGTCTGCAGCTACTGGTGCGCAATCAACTAACTGAACATACTAAATTGTAACCCATGTGTTTTTCTTTGCTGTAGGTTTAAATATTGCTCCAAGGGATCTTGCTATACTCTGTCAAAAGGTACGGTATTTGTAAAGATAAAGTTACCCCTTGATGGGTTCAAACTGTGTTGCAATCATCACTTCATCTTCTGTTCAAGTTATTCATCCATTGGTGAACAATTATGCAGGTTGAGAATCACATTGTTGGAGCTCCTTGTGGTGTAATGGACCAAATGACATCTGCTTGCGGAGAAGCCAACAAACTTCTGGCTATGGTTTGCCAGGTTAGTGAGGGTTATCGTGTTCCAATAGCTGGTTGATACAATCATTCATCCAGTCCAGCTCTGTGATCTTTGTATTTATTTTGTCAACTTCCGTGCAGCCTGCTGAAGTGAAAGAATTGGTCAGCATTCCAACTCATATACGATTTTGGGGTCTGGACTCTGGGATACGACATAGGTAGATCTTGTCCTGATTGTGCCTAGTGTACTTCTGAGATGATTTCAGTAATGAACTGAAGCTAATTGCACTCTCTTTTGTGTTGTGTAGTGTTGGTGGGACTGATTATGGATCTGTGAGGGTAGGCACATATATGGGACGCAAGATGATTAAGTGTGCTGCATCTGACCTAATTTCTCAATCCTTTCCGTCTGCTCCTACGCAATCATGCGACGCTTCTGAAGAATATGAAAAATATGGTGTGGATCTTCTGAAATCTGAAGCTTCACTGCAGTATCTATGCAACCTACCACCTCATAGGTCTGATTTACATTACTGAAATTGGCGAAGACTTGTGATTCTGCATTGCGTTTTCCTTGTCGCTTAGATTCACATGCTAATTCTTCTACTACAGATATGAAGCTGCCTATGCAAGAGATATTCCTGAGTTCATTACTGGGGATGAATTTAAGGAGAAATATGGAGATCACAACGATGCAGTAACAGTTATTGACCCAAAAAGATCTTACAGTGTGAAGGCTCCTACTAGACATCCCATATACGAGAACTTCCGTGTTGAGGTTTAGTATCTTGAACCTTATTGCCAATTCTTCTGCATAATAGTTGATGAAAACTTGCAGGATTTTTAGTTTTTTGTTTTCTTTCCATTTTCATGTGTTTACCAATTTTATACTCCCTCCGTCTCATTAGCTGTTGCTGAAATTGATGTATCTAGACAACTAATATGAGACAGAGGAAACATAGCTTACCAATTATTTTAGAGCTCTGAGCTCAAAAGCATTTAAAAAGCTTGTTTTCCCATACAAGCTGCACACAGAGAGGCATTTGGTTTTATCTTAAGCTAGATAGCGTAAAAAAAAGCTTAGATAAAACCTGCAATTATATTATGCTTTCGCAAACAGCTTTAAGATTTTCTTTTTAAAAATATATATCATCTGCTATGTAGGCCTTCAAAGCATTGTTAACAGCAGCCAAAACAGATGAGCAACTTTCAGCCCTTGGAGAACTTATGTATCAGGTAAATTTCATGCACTCTGACACTTGGTTATCAATCTATGTGCTTCTGTATTATTTTAAATTCAGAAATTGTGGCATACTGTTGACCCTCTTGTTTTCTCCTTGATGGCAGTGCCATTACAGCTACAATGCTTGCGGGCTTGGTTCTGATGGGACTGATAGGCTGGTGAATCTAGTACAAGAAATCCAGCACAGAAAGACCACCTCGCAACATGAAGGCCCGAGTCTATTTGGTGCAAAGATCACTGGTGGAGGTTCTGGTGGTTCAGTTTGTGTTATTGGGAAAAATAGCCTGAAAAGTAGTGAAGAGATTTTCGAGGTAATTGTCCATGTATGTTTTTGTATTAGTGAACACCCCGAATTCTCTAATTGTAAGCACGTCAATTACAACCATACTACTAACTCTCCTCTGATTTCTCATCACAAAAGATAGATAAATCTTGAATCCTTCCCCAAAGGATATCACAATTCACCATAGCATGAATACTAACTCATACTTGTTGGACCCTTTCAGATCCAGAAAAGATACAAAGCAGCCACCGGTTACCTACCAATTGTCTTCGAGGGTTCGTCTCCCGGCGCGGGCAAATTCGGGTACCTGAAGATCCGATGGCGGTCGGCATAAGTACCGCCTGACTTCCAACATTCGTCAAGACAAGAACATCGATACAAGTTGTTCATATCGAACAACATGGCACTTCATTCCACCAGTAGATTAAACATAGTAGTGTAGTAGTGGTACACAATAATGTCAACAATCTGGTGCAAACTTGCAGAGCAAGTGCCGCTGTTGAATCTGTAAAGGATGCTTCTGATCAAATCCAGTTTGTCACTAGGCAAATTAGATACGAACATGTGATTGGTCCTGGAACTTTGTAGGTTGTTCTGCCCATGGCTACGCGCAGATATTGCCGAATAAAAATGCCAAGATTGCAAGCATGTGTTGGTTTGGCATATATACTTGAAACACATTGTCGAATTTGCCACACCGCACCAGGTTGCGTAATGCGTCTGATCTGAAGGCAGAATCTGACTGTCATCTTTTGTCACAGGTTGCTGCATGTTAGCACAACAGTGCATTTGGTCAGAGATTGTTGAATGTACTCTCTGGATCAGCCAGCCATTTGCGATGGCCACGGGCCATCTACCGACTTCGACTATTCCGAGGCCGCCATCAAGGGCCACTCCCCCTGGCTCCTTGCAGTTGCGGCGACAATAGCTTGGTTATCAAGCACACACCATCACAGCAAAGGGGCTCTGCTTCAGCTGGCAAGTTGGCGACCCGGGAGAGGCCCGAACATGCAGGCGCGGCCTGAGCCCGATCATGAACAGGGTTCAGCGAGTGGTCTGGAACGATCACCCGGCAGAAATCGCAGTAAGAAATCGCTGTTTGGAGAAGTTGACGGCGCAAGTGCCTGACAGAAGATGCTATATTCCCTGTTGCAAAAACATGACATTTTGGACATGGACATGGACGACGTGTTTTCGAACACGCACACGCAACTTTGACCGTCGCCCTTTCATATTCATATGAATATGCAACTTCCAGACACAGCAGCCTCGTCTATTTCTGTGTGTCGGCAGTATCTATCTATCCATACATCGCCGTTGATTTCTGCTCCGGCGTTCTGGCAAAAATGTTCCGAACAACCTTCCGATTGGATATCCCTTTCGCAGGACAAAAGTTTTCGATTGAATTTCTCTTTCGGTGGGTCCAAACTGACCCAGAAACTTCATCAAAGAAGGGGCGGGCGAGCAGGCCCACTCTGCTCCTGTGCAGATGCACTGTTTGTTGTTGTGCCTTTGGGGGCTGAGGCTGTGGCGATTGGCTGGGCCATGTGTTTTGATTGGCCCTGAGCCAGCCTACCCATGCACTGTCCATCTCAGGAAAACCTTCCAAACCACCAACTAGAGCGCCTGCTGCCAGGCTTTAAATCAGACTATATGTAGGGTTTTTTCTAATAATTAGAGCACGAGATAAGGAGGAAGATAATGCCATGCAAACCACAAGTTATGTCTTCCAATGGAAACATATTAGGTGCAGTGCCAGTGTCACCTCAGCACATATTCTGGTCAGATGCATGCACTTGGTTGGACCTGAGGCACCAAAGGGGGTTGAACTTGAACAATGGATCTAAGCTTCTGGCCTCCATTGTGATCCTTGCACTGTTGCTACCTCTTCAATGCTAGATTTGGCTGTTCTTTTCTTCCTTCCACATCTAGTTCCAAGATCTAGTGGTGTACTCACCTTGACTTCCGACATAGTAGTGTATACTTAAAATATTTTTCATAATCTTCAACGTGAGGCTTTGGATATGTTTTCCTTGTCATGCTATCTGGACTTTGCATATTAGGGTAGTATTTTAAGAATTTGCGTGATCTTGTTAAACTATTTTCTCATAAAAGCAATTACAAGTTTTAAAGTGGTTGGGCTTTTTTAGAACTATTCGTTGATGTCGATCTAACGGCAGACAAATACGAAGTACTGGGTAGTACTCCGATGAAAGTACGCGAAAGTACTAAAACGAGTGGGGCCGGTACTCGTGACAAGGTGGGGACGCGTTTTAATCTAGGGGCAGTTTAGTCCTAGGAAAATTTGCACACGCCGCCCCTCTCGTCGAATGCATAACCGCCGCCATGGTGCTACACATCCACAATTACTCATCGGCGGCCATCTCCTCCCTCTCCTCCAAGTCCACCGCAGTCATCTCCTCCTTCTTGCCGCTGCAACTTCGCTCCACTCAGGCAACCCCCCCCCCCACCCCACCCCACCCCCTCT